ATCCAGGAATTCTGCTGGAAATGCCATGTAGAAACTATGTGAAGAGGGACAAGTCCTGAAACTACACGGAGAGAGAAAAAGCACAGCCCAGCTTGTTCCTTAATGCAATCACACAAATGCACACTGGCAAGACCAGCAGAACCAAGTAACTCAGCTCAGCCTAGCCCAGACTTCACAATTGTGGGCAAATAAAATGGTTGCTGTTATGTAAAATGGCAATAGATAATCAAAACATCAGTGTTAGCAAAGTGGCATAATTAATATATTGTCAAAGTTGTATTTCAAGAGCCAAGACTGCTAATAATGGTCAAAGAATCTGTGATGCTTCCGCAACTATCAATAGGATAAACGTGCTATAAATAATATGACAGGATATCAACTTTGTCTTAAATCAACCTTTTTACACTAACAGTAAAGTGTAAATAAAATGTGTAAATTGTCCTCAGAGGGAAAAATACTCAGCTATATTAGATTTCGAGGACAGGGCTGACAGATTGTGCTGTGCCACAGAATTATGTCACATGCTGTGAGAAAGCTGTTCCTCACCAAGGGGCCCATAGAATCAACCACTGGGACTTTTCTTTCAGCGTCTACAATGAACACATTTCTAACAACATGTACCAGCTCTGAGGTCTGAACTAGTCATCCAACTATGTATGCTTTCATTCTGGGACATCTGACCCAGATTAAGGTTCTGGCTAGTCACATTATTGTTAAGTAAACAGGAGCACAGGAGAGCTATGGTAATACTATTTTTAAATCAACTCCATCTCAAAAATAGCAAGGCACATTCCTTGCCAGTCACAATGCATAGTCATAACATGTTTTTGGTTAAGGAAGCAGTTAATGCTTGCAAGGATAAACTCCTATGATGGCAGAATGTCCAGATGTCCTAATATCACATAACAATGTATGCTTTTAAGATATAGTCATGCTTTGATGTACTTATGCACTAAAATGCCAAAGAAAACTTTTTAAAAACAACAAAGTACTAAATTTTGTCATGCTGTCAGCCTACCCCCACATAGACATAATAGCTTTTACATAGACAAGACCCCTATACAAGAAGAGTTTAAAACAAAGAAGGCACATTCCTCCATTTCTTTTCTGAGGACACCCTACTCTGTATCTGCATAGCTTTCAACAAACTCTCTTATCACTGTACTCTGCAATTCACCTTGAATTCCTTCCTGCTTAGACCCAAGAGTTCTCTCTTAAGGTCTGGATTGGGATCTCTTTTTCTGGTAACACTATTTCCTACTTCATTTTAGCCTCTGATCCTCAGAGGAATCACTTTGAGCTGATTCTTTTTGTATCTATCTACCTATTTCTAAATACTGCACTATGCTTATGTAGTAAAACTGACAATTTTAGGTACTCCCTTCTGATTTTTTTCTACTATGGGAGACGGAAATTTGGTGTTTACATACTCCCTCTCACTTCCCCTTCCCTGATCCTACTAACATAGTTTCTATCAATTTTTTGTTTATTTTCAGTGATAACATTTTTATGACTATGCCATATTGTCCAAATGGAGACAAGCAGTGTTCTGTGATTACATTTTCTTCCTTATCCTATTTTTTGTTCTTCTTATGCTTTTATGTTTGATTGGCTTGCCTAGATTTTATATAGTTTAACCTCATTACTAATGGATTCCATATTACTAATGGATTTCCTACTCACTACAATTTATTTATAACCAAATTCAATACTTGTAGTGCTTTCCCCAGTCATTTGTACACAGGTGCAGAGCAGAGCAAATTTCAAGTTGCCCAAGGTGCATGTGACCAGCTGAGGTTGAACAAAGCAATGCCGTACTTCTTGTTTTAGCTCTCCTATCATAAAAAGCATACTTTTCACAATATATTTACTGCTGTTTTAGGATTTTTGTGCTTTTTGTTGATTTCTGCTGTTTAAAATGGTCCCAAGTATAGTGCTAAGGTGCTGTCTAGTGTTCCTAAGTACAAGAGGGCTGTGATGTACCTTAGGAAAAAATACATGTGAAAGAGAAGCTACCTTCAGGCATTATAGTGCTGTTGTCTTGTGAGTTCAATATTAACAAATCAATATAATAAATGTTATATATATTTTATATATTATATATTGTGATATATTAATACTGTTTATCAATAAATACTAATATCACATATTATTAAAGCCAAATTATGTATTGATCCATTGACAAAAATGTGATAAGAAACTCGTAGGAACCTCACCCTCTGGTGAATCATGAACTTTTCTATGCCACAATTTCTCTTGACTATAGAATGTGCCTTGTGGGACCTTTCTCAAAGCAGCTGTGAAATTTTAATGACATTAAACTTTTAAGACTTCTGAGAATCAGTGTGCTGTGAAAATTAACACTTTATTATGTGAATAGGCACTATTCTAGAGAAAAGATAAATTGTTTGGGCAGTAGCCTAAGGACCTATTTTATTTCAACATTGTATTTTATAGCTGAGGCTGTGTAAACTCAGAGAGGTCAAAAGATTATCCCAATCCCATACCCATCAGTAAAGGACAGATTCTGGGTAAAACCCCAGTGAGCCTTTTGAATCCTTCAGCCACTGTTCACCAGGAAACTATTTTAAAGAATGTTAGAGTTCTAATTCATCTGACAATTAATTTTAAAGTTCAGTGAAGGATATCTTATGGGTGCAGTGATTGTGGTCTGTATTCCAAATTTTAGGGCCTGATTAGACAGAAACAGAAACACACCATAGCATTGCCTTTTTGACTGGATCATAGTTTTTCAGCCTCTGCATACCCCATATTAATATTCAATATATATTAGGATTTAATCATTCAATTTGATAGGAATTTCTGACAGGATCTTCCTGACTCTGATACTTTTCTCACCAGAATTGCCGATGAGAGTCTGTATTCCTCCCAGTTCACACTGAGCCAATGATTATGTTTGTTGACATTAGGTAGAAATATACCTTGTCTTCCCGAAAACTGATCTCAGCTCAGGAAGCCTTACTCTTAACCACTTGGCTATATTTATTCCTAAAACTGCATTTTTCTCACTTTGCTTGAAACACTTTTAACTCCTCCTTGTCCACCCCCTCAGGTTATTGCAATTTATTCTGGACTAAGATGAGAACCTCTCTCTGGAAAGCCTACCCTGACTCCCCAAAGTTTGGCATGACTATTCCCATGGCACAACTTGAACTTTATATTATCCAGATGAAAAATAAAACCCTCTAGTCCCTTAAGAGTAGCTTAAACCTCAACATTGATATTTGAGGTTAATGTTTTAATCTTAAAACATTAATCTAGACAGACTGATTTCACTGTCCCTAAAACACTGTGTTCAACTGTAAGATTTTACAAGCAATTCTTCCTGTCTGTAAAGTAGTAAAGGATTTTGGCCTCCTTTTTACCTATTAAAATACTACTTAAAGTCCAGTTTTAAAATTAATTTCTGATATATTCATCATGGTCAAAATATATCCAAAATTTGATTATTTCTGTCACCTCCACTGTTAACACTATTTTAACACTTTCTCTCTTTTAGGGGTAACTGCAATACCTCCTAATTGGAATCTCTGCTTTGGCTCTAGCCTCTACTTTGTCAATTCTTAACACAGCATTCAGAATAAGCCTGTTTAAATTTGTTACATTATATCACTTAAAACCCTCCAGTGACTCTTTACTTCACTTAGAATAAAAGACAACACCTTTACAATTACTTACAAGGGCCCCTATTACCTTTAACTTCATTCCCTATTTTCCTTCTCCCTTACAATGCTGCAGTACATTCCAGGTCCATTCCTAGCCTCAGACCCTTTGCACTTGCTCTACCCTCTATACGGAATTCTTTTTCCATGGAGAGCTCCATGGCTCACTTGCTCCCTCACTTCTTTTAGTGAGATAACATCCTGGGATCTGTGTATGTGCATATGAGATTCTACCATGTGATGTTATATAACCCTGTTCTTTACATGAGATCACTTGAGTGGATCTCTGTTCTTTACAAGCCCCCTAACAGTATGAAACTCTACTTCCATAGAACATATTCCTATAGAATTACTGTAGCAAAGAGTAACAGCAATTTTAAGGCTCAGGATTGGCCAAATTGTTTTTCCAAAAAGTCGTTACCAATTTACCCTCAACATAAGTATACATTACTTCATACTCTTGCTGAAAATTGCTATTGTCATTTTTATTAATAAAAGTGATACTTCATTGCTTTAGTCCGTTTATGTTGTCAACATTTTAAACTAGGTGTCCATTTAATTAAAAAGAGTTCATACTGTCATAATCATGGCAAATATTTTTCCTATTTTTTTCTGACTTACATGTTTTTCACCCACAGTTTAAAAATTTTTATGTGGTCAAATTATGTATTTTTTCTGAGTGTTTAAAAATCCACTCTAGAGAATTTTAAATATTTTGTAGTGGAACCTCCTTTATAAAAATAAAATCTTAAGTTACTTTTGCATATGAAGAGATAAAATGTGGCTAAACTTGCAGTTGTTTTGCTTCTGAAGATACTAGTCTTCATGAAACCACATGGAGGTCCATGGAATACAGTTTAAAAACTTGTATTCAATCGATGTTTTATTCTGATATAGATCATGAAATGAAAGTCTTATTAAAGAGTTAAATCATGATCTTAGCACTATTTACTGAATAATCCTCCTATTCACAGATCTCTATAAGCATATGCACTATATGTTAAAATACTCATATATAATCCATACACTGGTATATTTCTAAACTATTTAGTGACTTAGAATCCTAACTTTTTTTTTCAAATATACAATTAAATTCTCCATTATTACAACTTCATATACCAATATACAATTTATTATATGTTAGGGCAATATCATTAATCTTTCTTATAATTATCTTTGCTCTTCTCCAATGTCTATTTTCCTTAAAAGACTAGAACACCTTTATCTTAAATTCATTGGAATTTTCATGAGATCTAAAATAAATATATAAATTAGGAACATTCCCTTAAGGAAAATTAAGACTTCTCTAGTCAAGTCCTCTTTTATATTTCCCCTTTATTATTATTTTCATGCTGCATTTTTATTTGTTCCTCTTTAAATTATTAAAAACCAGATTTTTTGACCATTACATTTTCTGAATTATGCAAGAGTTTAGAAAACTAATGATTTTATATTTTTACCCAACTTAATGAGTTTAACTTAGTGCATTTTTAACACCTTTAAAAACATATTGTAGGTACTCCTTTATGTTTGTCTAATAAACTTTCACCTGGTCTCACATTTAAGCAATATTGCATTTTCATCTGTTATAGCACATAATTAGAAATGTTTAACCCAGTGTTTTCAATATTTTAAAATGAAGCATTGAATATATTTTGATACATTCAGCTTTAATCATCTTGATCCATTTATTTTAATATTTTAGGCCATCTTCTTGGGGATTGTTTTGGTAGTCATTGCTATAGAGACTGAATAATTTGTGCTTTTATCTTCTCCCATTTTGAAAGGTATATGAATTTTTTTAAGTTGTAATTTTAGGTTTGAAAAAAAAGACTTTTCTTAAATTGTCAGTCAAAAAGAAAATGTTATTATGAGTCCCTGCTATTTAAGATCAGAAATGTGGCACTTATGCTCTCTCTCCGGTTGCTGGATGTAGCAAATAAAAACAGAAATGACCAGTTAAATTTGAATTTCAAATGTATGAAATTTTAGTGTAAGTCCCATGCAATATTTGGGACATCCTTATACTAAAACAATTATTCTTTGCTTATATGAACTGGGTATCCTGACTTTACTCTCCTACCCAGACTCAGCATTTGTACATTTTACACTCAGCATTTATATATTTTCTTGCACATTTAATTTTTTGAAGTTGTGGAAACTATTCAGACAACTGCATGTTTAATTGATTTCAGTGCTCATCACTAGTCCTTTTATACCATGATTTCCACATTCACAAACTCTTTAAGGCACATGTATGCTACACTGTTTTCTTGCTTATCAAAAATATTTGTTTCCTGAACATATGAAAGACACTTTTGTTATAAAACTGTTTGGTGATAATAAACTTTCCAAATCTCAAAATTCTGAAGGTGCTGTTCCATTGCCTTCTGGGTTACCGTTGCAGAGGTCTGTATCCACCCTCCCTTTTTGGTTTTACAGATAACCAGAATTTTTCTTTCTGCATGCTTTTAATTGCTTCTTTCTAAGCTGTTTCTAAGGTTGCTTTAATACTGGTTTTGCCTAAAATTTAGTGACCGTATACTTTTAACTCAGAAAAAGTTTCTTAATGTCTTTGATCATTGATTCCATGCCAAATGTTCTTTCACCTTCCTTAGAGAAACCTATAATTCTCACCCTGGATCTCCATCCTCTAATATTCCTATCTGTCTTTTCTTAGTGTTCATCTCATTATCCTTTTCAGATACATTTAAGATCAGATCAAGTTTATCCATTACCTATCAATTATTTTATATTCTTCAGTGTTAATTGTACTTTTTATTGCATTTATTTTGATACAGCATTTCAGAGCTCCGTGAAGTCCTTCTTTGTTGTACCTATTTCTCTTTTTACTTTAGAGACTCTTCTCTACTTGTGTTTTTCTACTCTAGTTTTATTGAGTTCAGGTTCTCTGTTATGCCACTGAGGACACCAACATTTTTGGAAATTTCCTCTGAAGCCTGCAGCAGCTAATTTTCAGGGCAATACGTTTCCAAGTCTTTAGGATGATATTCTTTTCTTCAGTATTGCAATTCCAATTTTCCTAAACATGCCCACTTTTTTTTTCTCTTGGTATTACTTATTTGTATATCAATAATTAGGACTGTGTATACCTATTAACTTTAACTATTCTGACATAATGGCCAAACTCTCTTCTTACATAATTAGCTTCAGGGTTCATCGTTGCACAGACTTCTGAGTTCAATGCTGTCCTTGCAGATATTTCTCTATTACCACTCCGTTCTACTGAGATTAAATAAAATTCTACTGCTTGGATCTCCAATTCCAAACTAATAGAGTATCTTCCATTTCTAGCACTTTTGTCCATACCCTTCACACCTTACTTAGAGAAAATTCTGTACTTCTTGTTGTTTGGTATCTGAACCTATTATTAAGCATGGAAAACCAGGAAACGGAAGGGATAAGAGTGCACTGTGGTCACCTCAAAGTGAAGCACCCCTGCAACAGAAGGACAGTCCCTGGGTTTTCTGGTTGACAGAGATAACTCAGAGAACACTGTCTCAGACACAAGGTCATACAATGCTTTCCTATCTTTTATTAGGTGGCTTGTGTCCATAAACAACTGAATTCTACTGGCCAAAACTGAGTTTTAAGTTCTGTGTGTTTCCATCTTTTCTGTTACTTCCTAGGGACTTTTTAGGGGAGATAAGAGATGTTGTTTAACAGATGGCCAGCCAGTTTCAATTCAAACCAAAATTTAAGTGTTTTGAAGTCAGTGAAAATACAAAGTTGAACACACAATATAATTTCACGCACACTAAAATGCACAGAAAAAAAGACTAGAATGAAATAGAATGAAGAGTTTTCTCCTTAAATGTTTAATATATTTTATGACTATTATATTTATAGTAGGTAAAGAAAAATACACAATAATTTTAAATATATAGGGATTTTTCTAAAGATCTCCTTTTGAAGCAAATAATTCTTAGTGGGAGATAGGGGAAACTATAAATGTTGCTTGGGATTACTTGTGTTATTTATAAGATTTCCTTATCAGCAGCATTTTAGGGTTTAAAGGTTAGGTAAACTTTGATTGAAGCTGTTAACTAAATGAACAATATTTATAAGTTTCCTCTTCTATGATTATTGTGGAGATGTGAATTATGATCAAATCCCTTATAATATTCATGGCATTTATAAGGTTTCTCTCCTGCGTGGACTCTTTGATGAATTCGAAGAGCTGAGCTATGACTGAAACCTTTACCACACTTAGCACATTGATAAGGTTTCTCTCCTGTATGGACCCTCTGATGAATGTGAAGATTAGAACTGTGACTAAAACCCTTTCCACAATCATCACATTTATAGGGCTTTTCTCCTGTATGGACTCTCTGATGAATGAGAAGATGTGAACGCTGACTGAATCCCTTGCCACACTCTTCACATTTGTAGGGTTTCTCTCCAGTATGTACTCTTTGATGAGTGTGAAGCTTTGAACTCTTACTGAAGCTCTTCCCACATTCAGGACAAGTATAGGGTTTCTCCCCTGTATGGACTCTCTGATGAATGCGAAGATCTGAGCTGTGACTAAAGTCCTTCCCACAGTCGTCACATTTATAAGGTTTCTCTCCTGTATGCACTCTCTGATGAATTTGAAGATTTGAGCGTTGGGTAAAGCCCTTACCACAGTCTTCACATTTATAAGACTTCTCTCCTGTGTGTACTAACTGATGAATTCGAAGATTTGAGCTCTGGCTGAAGCCCTTACCACACTCATCACACTTATATGGTTTTTCTCCTGTGTGGACTCTCTGATGAACATGAAGTACTGAACTCCGATTAAAACTCTTACCACACTGATTGCACTTAAAAGGCTTCTCTCCTATGTGAAGTCTCTGGTGAATGTGAAGTAATGAATTCCTACTGAGGTCTTTATCACACTCAATTTTATAGAATTTCTCTTCTGTGTGAACTCTTTGATGATTGTGAAGACTAGAGATCCGGCTGAAGCTCTTACCACATGCATTACAGCTGTAAGGTACCTCCCCTATGTGAACTCTCTGATGAAAGTGAACTCCTGAGCTCTGATGAAAGTTACTGTCAACTTTATCATATCCATACAGCTTCTTACCTATGTGGATTCTTGGATGTCTACACAAGGCTGATCTCTGAGAGAAGCATGCTTTACGGATAGAACATTGACAGAGGTTTTCTCCAGGTTGATTTCTCTTGTGGAAAATACACCGTGAGTTCCAACAATAAATTTCTTTACATTTATTACATCCACAGTAGTTTTCTTCCATTGAATCTTTCAGTAGGTCTTTCTGACATATCACCCTAACATACTGTGGAAGGGCTTCCTCCACTGGGATATAAGAATGCTGAACTATGAGCTTCTGTTCTTTTTCCATGGAGAGGTTTTTCCTGGATATGCCAAGATGGTATCTGCCCCCTTGAAAACCATGTGAACCACTCATGTAGATTTCTCTACCATAGTCTTGGGTGGTTTTTGTTTCTAAGGACTGCCAAGGTATAAAATTTTTATATTTTAAGTTCCTGCGATTTTTGCTTTCAAAAGTCAGTTCATAGTTCCCACACCCTGGTACTTGTGTGGAAAGTATTAACCATTTCTGACACTGGGAGCGATCTTGCTGTGTTAAGTCTTTGGAATCTTTCCCTTGAACAGTTTCCCCATAGTTCTGATTCTCACACATCTGAGCACCAGCATTCCACCAGCCTTGCCAGCAGGAAAAATTTTCATATTCTAAGTATCTGAATTTTTCTTCTTGGGATTTGTAGCTCTTATTGCAGTTTTCTAGAAAAATAAGATAATCCCATAGTGAGATAAAAGTTGTGTTGAAAAATTTCCAACTATCTAAATCAATGATCTTTAAATGATAGGAATATATGTGTGGGTGGGGGTAGGAAAGGAGGGTTATGACTCTGGCTGCTCCATTTGGGTCTGAAATTCATTTGTTTTGTTCATTCATGTATGTATTCATTCATTCACTTATTTATTCATTCCACAAGCATATTTTGAACAGGCACTGTTAGAAAGATTTAACTTCTATTTACCAGGCACTGTTAGAAATGAGAATAATGCCAACTGCTTAATGGAAATAGTCTTAAAGACTGAGATATAATTAAATTACTTTATTTTGGATATTATTATAAGAAACAAAATATATTGTTCCTATTTTTCTGTTCTAGAATAGCACGGTAGATTGAGAAAAAATGACTACATTAACTCACTACTTTACCTACACCTTTGGTATTCTCCTTCCACACTCTCTCTATGCTTGGCTACACAACTTGCGTTGGTAACTGGGAAAATAACAAAAGTCACACAAGCAGAGACTTGAAAAGCCCCTCCCCTTTCTCGATGCTTTTGAAAATCCTGTGACCCCCACCATGTAAGTGTGCTTGGGTTGGCTTGTTTGAAGAGAGATATGTGACCAACACATTCCCACTACCTCCACTGATACTGAGCCAACTGCCCCACATGTGAGTCAGGCCAAGCAGCTTAATCTTAGACCAGTCAGCCACAACCAAATCTCTCCATGATAAAAGATCTATCCAGTCAATGAGAATCATAAAAAATAATAAAGTTTGTTTTTAAGCCACTAAGTCTGGCACAGTATGTTATACAACAAAAGCTAACTTATACAAATAGCATGAAGAGAGAAAAAATTTAGGACCACACAAAATTGACTACGTATGGAGATATGTGTTTTAAGGGCAATGCAGAAAATAACTAAAACTAATAATCACAAGTATCTATTAATGATACAACCTAGGTGTCCTGGAATCTGTCTTGCTTTATCTTTTATTTGTGACCTGATTTAAGAAATATTTTTGAGAATATCTCTTCCAACACCTCAATATAACACCCAGATAAAAAAACAAAATACTCAACAAAACTGTTCCTAGAAGAAACTCTGACTATTCCCTATGAGGTGGGATAACTTTACCTACTGACATGACATTTGTGTAGTTCTCCCACATGACCTCCCTGTAGAGCCTTTTTTGAGAAGAATCCAGGAATTTCCACTCCTCCCAAGTAAAAATAATAGTGACATCTTCAAATGTTACTGCCATCTGGTCAAAGATCAGGCTTTCTAGGAAAAAGAAATCTAAGTGAGAAGATGGACAAAGATAAAGACATTTAGCAGATTAACATAAGTGGCAAGCCAAAAAGAACTTCAACAAAGAAGAAAACCAAGAAAGGTAAGGAGAGGTATAACAATAGTAGTCAAACAGCTAAATAATATATCCAATCATGAAACATCATCACTATCAAAAGAAACACCTATATAGCACTTGTCTACTAAGTTTTTTACCTATATTTCAGTTACTCCTCACAGAAATCCCATGTTGTAGGTAGCTTTCTACTACTATTATGCATTTTAGAATGGAGAAGAGATAAATATATGTATTAAAACTGCCTAAAATAATTCTTTTAGTGGAAAGAACAGATCATAAATTGGTTATGTGGCAAATCCATTTTGTTTCTTTTTAAATTTTTCATTGTATCTATTTGATCACACATTCTTAATTCTAAATTTCAATTTAAAATATTGAGTACCTACTAAGAATAAAGGAAACAGATACTTTTAAGGAGTTTACAATAAAATGGAAGGAAAGCCAAATACTATTATCAGCAGCAGCACCATCTTAGCTGCAGCTATATCTTATTGAACATTTATGAATAGGGCTACGTTATCTCATTTACTCTCAGAACAATCCAATAAGGTATTATTATTCACACTAAATGAATATGCAAACTAACGTTTAGCAAGACTAAGTTACTTGTACAAGATTATGTAGTTACATCATAGATGTTTTTAAACTCAGCACTACCTATAAAATAAAAGTGAGATAAATTAAAAACGTTTGATAAAGTGTTTCAGTTGAGATTTCCATATACTGTCATAATGTGTTAATGAAGGGTAAAGGAAAGATGTACTGAAATATTCAAGGGTAAAAAATATGCAGCCAAACTACTATTTTCCAAATAAACTACATGAAAATATATATCTAAACAACAAAACATTAACCACAAATAAGAACTCAAGAATGAGAACATTCAGAGCCATATATTTAAATATCTAGTGGCCTATTTTTAATGTTTATAAAATAAATTTAATAAATTTTAAATATAATGAATCCACTTTAAATATATAAATTAAAAAAAGAAAAGAAATTTGGGATGCTCAGAAACTCAAACTACAGGAGTGAAACTGTGAAAGTTGTATCTATCTAGAAAATAAATGGACTCACTGATCTCTAGTTTTATAAAAAGTACAATAAAAATAAAATTCAATCTGTAGTTATTGGATTTACTTTTTAAAAAAATTTAAGGATTTATTTTAAAAACATATTAGCAATCAGGAATCTAATTTCTTTTACTGAAAATAAGTTCATAAATATTTAAAACATTGAAATGTAAGTAAAAATTAAAAGCCTACCTTCCCCCAAATAATTTAAGAAATAACCACTATAACCAGTTTTCACTGTGTTTTTTCTAACCTTCTTCCATGTATACACAACACACATTCATACTTCACTGATTTTTTTCCTTAATAAAGACATGGTAATTCTGCAATTTTCTTTTTTTCATTTAATACATAGAGTACAACTTCCCACTTCAGTACAGGTAGACCTATCTTATTTATGGTAATTTTTAAACATGCCCATAAATTATTTGATCCTTTCCTTTCAAGAAGTGAAGCCTAATTCCCCACCCCTTGAATATGGGCTGAACTTAGTGAGTAACTTCTGATGAATAGGAAATAAAGTGGATAAGGAAGTAGTGTTATGCAACTTTGGAGGCTGGGTCATAAAAGTCACTGCAGCTTCTTTCTTGCTCTCTCTAGGATCACTAGCTCTGGGAAAAGCTATATGCCATGTCATGAGAAAACTTAAGCAGACCTGTGGTGAGGAATTGGGACCTTCTGCTTTCACTGAGAAATGAGACATCTTGCCAACAGCCATGTGAGTAAACTATCTTAGAAGTGGATCCTCCAACCACAGTGCAGCCTTCAGATGACTACAGTCCCTGCTGATAGCTTCACTGCAACTTGATGAGAGACCTTGAGACAGCTTTGCTTCTTTCAGATTCCTCACCCTCAGAAACTGGGTAAGATAATGTTTGCTGTTTTAAGTATTAAATAATTTGTTTTGCAATAATAGATAACTAATATTATTTGCAAAACTTATGTAGCATTTCATTTTATTGATGTCCAAGACTTAACTGTTCCCATATTAATGGACATTAAGATCGCTTCCAGTTTCTTGGCTATAACATATAGCAAAAGAATTCTCTTAAATATATAATTATTTCTATTGTAATAATATTTCTTTATGATAATGTCTATATGATAAATACAAATATTTCTATATGATAAATAGATATATTTCTGTATGACAAACCTCTAGAAGTGAAATTTTCAGGCATCTGTATTTCAGTTTACTAAAAAATACTATAAAATGTCCCTTGAAAATAGTTTTTAAAATGTTACAAATATTTTCCCCTAACGGAACAATAAAAGAAAGACACCTATATTCAATATTAGCAAGTACAATAAATCTAAACAGAAAAAAGAATTATATAAACAATAAACTAAGATGACAAGTAAGCCTATTGATAAAGAAAAGGATACTAAAATTGAGTTTTAAAATAAAGTGGCATACTGCTTATAAGAGATATACTTCAAACTAATGAATTCTGAAGGATTAAAAATGATCTGGCTAATTGTTTTCTTGTGGCGTTTAAGTTCTTTATTTACTTCCTGTTAGCTGGTTCTTTTGTTCCAGAGACTTGATTAGACTACGGTTCACTTTTTCTGACAAGAATACCTGCGTATATACTTCCTATAGTACATTTTAGTTAGCTAAACTGAACAATGGCTTCAGGTGCTATCAGCCCAGTCCTTCCATTCCAAGATTCTCTTAAACCTTTCATTAAAAGTTTTAGCAATAAATGATGATCATTTCCTGGATTTGTGATTTCATTAGGTTTTACAAATTGGTTGTCTAATTCAGTAATTCTACCATTCCTTGTGCATACATATGCTATAATTCTTCTATAATGAAAAACTTGCCATTACAAATTTTCTGGTTATCCTGAAATGTAATCCTAATGAAAAAGACAAGATAAAATGCTTGATTATCTCCCAAACTTACTCTCTTTTAAAAATCAATTTTCAGAGTAATGAGACGGGGCAAAGCAATCACCAACTATGACCAATGAGATTTGTATTATTTTGCTTTTCAATGTTTACATACTCACTGATTCTTACATAGTGGATGGGTTGCAATTAAATTGCAATCATTTTTCTTTTAGATGTGCAAGATTCTCTCATCTCAGACTAGTAAAAATCCCTTCAGGTTGGCTCCTAGGTTTGTAATATGACCATTTTTGGTGTTTGAGAGCTTTCCTTGCTTTCTGGCACAACAAATGTCCAGGTTCATTCTTGTTCCATTTCCTTGACGAACCAGGATGTAGTATTTCTCCCAGGAGTTTGGTAATTTTCCACTCCTTTTTTGGTATATAAGTAACCCTCCAACAATATTATATAAACTTGATATCTCTTTTGTCTTATCATCTATGAACATAGCTCTGATTATTAGTTTTCTTTAAGGTCCTTTTCAAGAAAGATCAGTTAAAATCATTCTCTATACATCTGGAGTTTTGATTCCTTCTTTTAATATTGTCAGATTTTGCTTATACAATTTGAAATGGTGCTTAGCTATATATTAGTTCATGCCTAATACATCTGCTTGATGGATCTTAACCACTGTTTAACATGATTGACCTTTTATTGTGAAATTAAATAGGTCTCTTGTAAAGAGCACAGAGCAAGATTTCTGTTTTTCACTCAATCAGTATGACTCAGTTATTTTATTATCCATGTTTATTTATTGTGATTACTAATATAGACTTATTTCTAACATACCATTTTTTATTCTTCCTTTCCCATCTTTTAGATTGACTGACAGTTTTATGCTTAAATTTCTTCTCATCACCACCTTTTCATTTATATAGGTTTCAATTTCACACATAGTTTCTATTATTTTAATAAGTAATCTAAATATATTTTAAACATATACACTTACCTATTTTTCTAATAAGTCAATTAAGAAGAGAAACAAATTCAGGAAAGGCTGCATGAAATATGACAAGAAAGGTGATCAAGTACCTTGGTAAAGTTTATTGTTATCATAAAACAAAACTAACAACAAAAAATATAGGAGAGCAAAGAAAAAAGGAGACATAGCAAGTATGTCAATGCCTACATATCTGAACTACAATTCTTGACAATACAAACATGAGGGGAGAAAGAGAAGGACATAAGAGTGTGTTAAAGTCCACGTCTTACTAAAAATATGACCTAGATATTAATACATTTAAAAAGTCAGGAGGGGCAAATGAAAATCATTGTGGGTTTTAAGTTAAGATATTAATACATTTAAAAAGTCAGTAGGGGTAAATAAAAGTCATTGTGGGTTTTAAGTTAAGCACAACCATCATAAGAACCAAAATGGAATCTATGAAAAACAAAATAAAAACAGAAGAGAACTTGCTCCATGGGAAAACAGAAAATAAGAAAAGAAAAGATGGCAAAATAATATAATAATAATTAAAATAATTTTAAATAATTTAATCTTACAGATTAAAAGACCCATAGATTAAAAAATAAGATTTAGCATGTGGTTTAGAAGAGATACACTAAAAAGAAAAATATTTAAAAATACAAGGATAGAAAAAGATTACAAAAATATGAATCAAAAGAAAGCTGAAATAGCAAACTTAATTTCAGATGAGTAAAATTTATGGCAAAAATACCATAAGGGACAAAAATGTTTTTTATATGAATAGTAAGAAAAAATATCCAAAATAAACTGCATCCACAAATAAAACTTCAAAACGTACCAAACGATAAGTGTCACAAATGTGAGGGGAAATATATATACCATTAGTTGTAATGATAGATATTAATATGTCCCTCTCAAAAAATTATAGCAAGAAAACAAAAAAACACTAATAATATGAAGACTAAACACCACAAATAATAAGCTTCAGTTATTTTATCTGTGTTGAACTCTGCACCATCAAAATACAAAATACACATTATTTTCATGAATACATAGCACTATAAGATAGACCATGTATTAGTCCATAAAATAAATCATGATAAATTCCAAAGCATCAACATAATACAGAATACATTCTCTAGCTACAATGTAATAAAATTTGAAATTATTAACAATAGAATTTTAAAAGTCCACACTTCTGAAACCCAAGTAACATACTATATTATTAAGTAATCTTTGAATTTAAAAGAAAAAAATAACAATTCTTAATTTTTTTTTCCTAAAAATCTAAATGTAATAATGACAATAATTACACAAAAAATGTGCAAGATCCAAATGAAATACTTGAAGGAAACAAAAATGGCTAGAGCAGCTGGGCAAAGTGGCACACACCTGTAATCCCAGCACTTTGGGCAGATCGCTCGAGCCCAGGAGTTTGAGACCACTCTGGGAAATATGGAGAAATCCCATCTCTACAAAAAATACAAAAATTAGCCAGGCATGGTGGCACACACCTGTAGTCCCAGCTACTCAGGAAGTTGAGGTAGGAGGAGCGATTGAGTCTGGGAGGTTGAGGCTGCAATGAGCTGTGAGTGTACCACCGCACTCCAGCCCGCAAGACAGAGCGAGACGCTGTCTTAAATAAATGAATAAATAAATATATTTTTTAAAAAACCCAGCTAGACTAACATCATACTGAATAGGTGAAGGCTCAAAGTATTTACCTTGAGAACCAGAAAAAGACAAGAATGCCCACTCTCACCACTCCTATTCAACACAGTACTGGAAGTCCTAGCCAGAGCAATCAGGCAAGAGAAAGAAATAAAAGGTATCCAAATAAAAAGACATGAAGTCAAACTATCTCTGTTTGCAGATGATATGATTCTATACCTAGAAAATCCCAGAGTCTCTGCCCCAAAGCTCCTTTAGCTAATAAACAACTTCAGGGAAGTTTCAGGATACGAAACCGATATACAAAACACAGTAGCATTTCTATATACCAATAACATCCAAGCTGAGAGCCAAATCAAGAATGCAATCCCATTTACAATAGCCACAAAAAGAATAAAATATCTATGCATACTGCTAACCAGGGATGTAAAAGATCTCTACAACAAGAATTACAAAGCACTGCTCAAAGAAATCAGAGATGACATAAACAAATGGAAAAACATTCCATGTTCATGAATAAAATCAACATAACCAAAATGGCCATATTGAAGCAATATACAGATTCAATGATACTTCTATCAAACTACCAATGACATTCTTCACTGAATTAGAAAAAAAAAACTGTTTTAAAATTCACATGGAACCCAAAAGGAGCCCAAATAGCCAAGGCAACCCTAAGCAAAATGAACAAAGCTGGAGGCAACACGTTACCTGAGTTCAAACTACAAAGCTACAGTAAACAAAATAGCAGGGTACTCATATAAAAACAGACACATACACCAATGGAACAGAATATAGAGCCCAGAAAAAAATGCCTCACACCTACCACCATCTGATCTTCAACAAAGTTGACAAAAACAAGCAATGGGAAAGGACTCCTATTCAATGAATGGTGCTGGGATAATTGGCTAGCCATATGTAGAAGATTGAAACTAGACCCCTTCCTTACACAGTATACAAAAATCAATTTGACATGGTTTAAAGACTTACATGAAAACCTAAAACTGTAAAAACCCTGATAGATAACTTAGGGGATACCATTCTGGACACAGGACTTGGCAAAGATTTCATGATGAAGACACCAAAAGCAACTGTAACAAAAACAAAAATTGACAAATGGGACCTAATTAAAGTAAAGAGCTTCTGCACAACAAAAGAAATTATCAACAGAGTAAATAGACAACGTACAGAATGGGAGAAAATATTTGCAAACTATGCATCTGACGAAGATCCAAAGTCTAGAATCGACAAAGAATTTAAACAAATTAACAAACAAAAAACAACCCCATTAAAAAGTAGGCAAAGGACATAAATACTTTTCAAAAGAAGACATACATGCAGTCAACAAGCAATGAAGAAAATGCTCAACATCACTAATCATCAGATAAAGGCAAATCAAAACCACAGTGAGATACCATCTCATATCAGTCAGATGGCTATTATTAAAAATTCAAAAAATAGTAAGATGCTGACAAGATAGCAGAGGAAAGGCAATACTTAAATATGCTGATGGTGGGAATGTAAATTAGTTCAGTCATTGTGGAAAGCAGTGTGGTAATTTCTCAAAGAACTTAAAACAGAATTACCATACCCAGCAATCCCATTACTGGGTATATGCCCAAAGGTATATAAATTGTTCTACCATAAAGACAATAAGCATGTGTATGTTCATTTCAGCACTATTCACAATAGTGAAGACATGGAATCAACCTAAATGCCCATTAAAAATAGACTGGATAAAGAAAATGTGGTACACATACACCATGGAATACTACACAGGCACTGAAAAAGAATAAAACGATGTCCCTTGCAGCAACACGGATGGAGCTGCAGGCCATTATCCTAAGTGAACTAATGCAGACACAGAAAACCAAATACTGCATGTTCTCACTTATATGTTGGAGCTAAATATTGAGAACACATGACCACAAAGAAGGGAGCAACACATATCAGGGCCTACTTGCTGGTAGAGGGTGAGAGGAGGGCGAGGATCAAAAAACTACCTATCTGGTACTATGCTTTACCTGGTTGACAAAATAATTTGAATGTCAAACACCCATGACTCACAATTTATCTATATAACAAAGCTGTATATATACCCCTAATCCTAAAATAAAAGTTTAAAAAAAGTCTAGAAATAAAGCATTCAGCTCAGGAGTGTAAAAAAGAGAAACCATCCCCCATTTAAAAAAAAAAAAAAAGATCAAACTTCAAAAAAGAAGAATCAAGTGGATGTCAAAGATATAAGAAACAAATAAATGATTGAGAAAATGCATAAAGCCAAAAGATGTTCTTAAAAATTTAATGTCAGATCAATGAAAGTCAGATTTCTAATAAGACGGTTATGAAAAAAATACTGGGCAAAATATGGAAATAACTTTAGACATAAGATTTTTCAATGATGCAAAGGTGTTGTGAACTATATATATAAGGATATTTATCAGCTACAGGCAAATACACCTAAATATTTACCTAAATGGATCAACTCCCAGTAAAGTACAAAAAGGAAATAATAAAATGGCAAAATAGATGAAAGACTAATAAAAAATTATATAGACTAGTCAGTACTAAATTAAAATGGCAGCCATGCTCTTCCTCCCTCTCCCTAATCCCAAAGCTCTAAGAGCTTTATAGTTGAGTTCTAGCAAACATGTAATTAACTTAATTACTATTATAATACATTGAAAACAAAGTAGAGAGTGAAAATTGCCAACTTATTTTATGTAGCTAGTGTAATCTTGGATTCCAAGGCCAGATAAGAACGATACAAATAAAATTAAATTATGGGCACATTTGTAAATTTTGTAAATATACAAAAATCCTAAATAAAATATCAGCTAATTAAATTCAGTAATATATCAAATATATGCAGCGTGATCAGTTTATTATAGGAATGCAAGGATCATTCAACATGAGAAAAATCTATTAACATAATTCACTGTATTACTAGAAAATAGAATAAATCCATGATAATCTCAACTGATGCAGAAAAATCATGTGATATAAGATTCAGGAAGCACAACACCCATATATTCTCTTAAAAACACTTTTAGCAAACTAGAGCAAAAAAATAAACTCCCTACAGTGGCAAAGGTTAAATATCAAGAACTTTAAGCTTAATGGAGAAACTTCACATATATTCCCTTTACAATGGTAACAAGAATGACCACCATCACTGCTGCTTTCAACATAGCACTAGAGATTCTGGCAAATACTAAAAGAAAAAGAACTAAGAGGTATAAGGATTAGAAGCAAAAATATAAAATGTCATTATTTGCATAGTTACGGCCATCTACCTAGAAAAAGAGTACACAGTAAACTATAAGAGAGTTCAGCAAAACTATCAGATACAATAAAGAAATAGTTTAACTGACTCAGCAATCAACTACTAGAAAGTA